CATCAAATTTATAAGTAGTAGATCTATAGTTCGTTCAATTTTAGGTTTGAGAATGCTTTTTTATCATTGCCCACACAAGCTTATCATGTAAAGAAAACATGAACTAAGCGCGGCTTGCTTTTTTTGGTTGCAAAAGCAACAAAAAATCAAAAACATACAACAGTGAGGATTCGCTGGTGGTCACCCACCCAACTACTAACTCACCGGCGTGTGGCTTAAGTACGGCTGAGCGGACGGGAAGCCCTGTTTTCCACACCCTATGGTCGTATGTATTATCTTGCGTGTAAAAGAGTGTTATAATGTGAAACATTGGAAAGTGATGAAGTGGTTAGTGACTGAGAAATAGGCGGGAGCTGGTATGAACACGGACTGAAAGAGGAGTTGACTCGCAAAAGGATTTTAGTTACTCTCAGCCCGATATCGCCCGGCCTGTACCCCGGGATGATACTATTGAAAATTTGGAGGAACGGATCTTGAGATATACACGGTCAACGGATCGTGCTGATGTAGTGGAACAGATTAGAAACATCCCTTTCTCGGACATGCAGTGAGTTTCTATTCGCCCATGGTGAAGTATGTATCTCTTGGATGCATTTTCCCTTGCACTCTCCCACTCTCCCCCTGGAAAATCAGGAATTTTGGGATGTGGGTGGCCACTTGCAACCCCAATCCAAGGATCAAGCACTGTGGTTAGCCATCTATTTCAGCTATTTATGTATGTATTAGGGGGAAAAGGGCAATATGCTCCATTCCTTCCATTATGCAGTGCGTATCTAGTCTTCTTGCGGTATTTCTATTCCCATTCGTTCCCGAGTCACCCCAGTAGCTGCTTGCGAACAATCAACCCGTGGCGGCAAAAGATGTACTCGTCGTGGTTATTGGTGTTATATCTCTGGACGCGCCAGATCTTGTGCGGGGTTTTCAATGTCAATGAAATCAACACTGTTCTAGAGACGGAAAGAATCTGATATATGCTTCCCACACAGATATTATTTGGGTAATATGCTGACTCTCGCGGGCATCACAAGTACCACTATCTAGCTATGAGTAAACGTCATCCTTAGCTTTTAGGCATTTGTGGTTGCTGTAGTAGCCAGCTTTCTGCTTAATATTCTCGGTCGTCGACTCTAGGCACTAAGTCCCATGGTTGGCATGGTTTTTTTATTCTATTTATCAGGTGGTCTAACGAAAAGTATGCGCACATTACAGAACACGTATGTCTATATCGCATTACAGCTGGCCTTTCAAGGATACATAGAGAGCAAAAACCAGAGTAGGAAATACGGCACACCTACTATACGCTTTATGTTCCAGGGATTCTGTTCAATTTCTATCACACTTATAGCCAGCTTATATCCTACGGAGCCGCTTCCTTGCCGGATTTGAGGTACTAGTATAGCAATCTTCAGGTTTCTAATTTGCTCTTTTAGGTAATTGTTTTTTTCCCTCTCTATTACAACTAGAATATGAGGACCTATGGAATCGATACCGAAAATGACAGCTTTGGGGGCCAGAAGCGGCTGCCTTTCCACCCGTAACCTTGGACATCCAGCCGCCCCTTGATCACCCTTGATCGCTCGCCCACTGCTCTGTAATATCACTATTCTGCATCCGCCCAGCGACATTTACCCTTCTCATATTCTTGGATGATTTGAGGCCCATAAGCAAAATTATAACCGCCGCCGTTTGGCGGGAACTCAGTCGCTCTTCGGGGAATCCCTGTCCAACGCCCTCGCCTCCGCTAGATCGACGTGCGTCTTGGCGAAACTCCGAGCTGAAACCTTTCGCTGGAACAGGATGCTTAGCTCTGCATAGGTCCGTCCACTAGGTTCAGGAATACAGAAATAGGTATAGATCAAAGATAAAACACAAGTGCCACCATAGAAAAATCCCGCTTTCGCACCCCAATTCCATGCCGACGGGTTCAGCATGTATGGTGTAATGATGTTGCTGATAATATTAAGGATATTATATGTCATACGTGCCAGTACAATTGACTTGCTGCGGAGACGGACGGAAGGGATCTCCGCCACAAGCGAGTAGCAGACTGGGCCGACGGTGACGTCGTAGAAGAATGTGTGTACAAGCAGCATAGATCCGATTGACCAGGCAAGCCCGCTGCCACCGCTGCTGTCCGCTGGGGACGGGGATCGAGACTCTGCGACACCCAGACCGCCAATCATCAGCAAGAGCACTGCCAAAATGGCCAAGCCCCAGAGGTAAATGCTTCGTCGGCCAAACCGTGGTAGCAAAATCCAGGCTACAAACACGCCGATGATGCCGAGGGCATACTGCACGATAGACATGGTGAAGGCCTGCTCCGTCGGTAGTCCCGCTTGCTTGTAGAAGTAGGTGGAGTAGATACGGAGGCTCGTCCCAGATAAGATTTGAATACCCCAGCAGCAACAGGAAATCGAGGTGCGGCGTAGATCTACACCGCGGAAGCAATCGATATAGCGAGTGCCTGTGCCAGATTCCCGCTCTTTCTCTGTCGTCACCACCATTAGTGTAATTGCTTGATCGGCGTCAAACTCAATACGGCCGGGCGATGTTAATCTAAGGAGAGCCGCTTTGGCTTCCTCTAAGCGATTCTTGCGAACAAGCCACCAGGGCGATTCAGGAGCGAAAAATATCCCGATCATTAACGGAATTGGCCAGACCCATTGCAGGGCAAAGGGGATGCGATAAGACCATTGGTCAGATCGTGTGAGTACTCCTCGCAGAACACCGGCTGAGAGTAGCTGTCCAAAAACCTATTAATATTCAGTTGGTTAGCTTTGTTATCTCATCCTTTTCACCTTACCCCCTTCACCACCCCGAAAGACAGAAAAGGGAAGAGGGGAGGGTGTGGGCTTTACCCAGCAGAGGTTCACGTAGGTGGTGAGATAAGCGCGAAGATGGGTCGGAGTCACTTCGGCCGCGTATGAAGTAGTCAATGTCTGAAAGATTCCCCAAGGAATGCCCATTAAAACCTGGCCAACTAGCAATACCTCAATGTTTGGAGCAAAGAAGGGGATGAATATCGTAGCAGTCATGAAGGCCAACGAGGCCAGCATCGTATTGCAAGATCCGAATCGTTCTGATAGATAACCGTTGATGAGAAGGCCCATGAGTGATCCAACCGAAGCACCATTAGAGAGGCCAGCCTGCCAAGAAGCGCTGATTCCATGCGTGCCATCCGGCAACTTCTGGCCGTACCTTTTCTGGAAAGCGGGTTGAGCAAAGAGGGAACCCACGAGCTTCATGTCGTAGCCTTCCATGATGAGGGTTAGAGACAGAAATGTGGACCATGCGACTGCCTTGGGATATAATCGGAGAGCCCGCAGAAAGGTAAGTTCATGTTCGCTGTGGGTGGCGCGACGAGCTTCATGCAGAAGGGTATCTTGTTGTTTCGGGAACGTGGCCCCATTTTCAATATAGGTCGTCATTTTCAGAAGCAATAGTGCTACCTAGGTAGGTCCTCGTATAGTTCTAGGGCAATTAATCCCGGGAACGGCAGAGTCTCCACACAAATTTGATGTGGAGAAAAACAAACCAACCTTGGAAGGGTTACGGGTTCCAGGGCTCCACTTGCCGGCCAAAGTAACCAATCGGATAATCTCACCGTATTAGATGACTAACCCAACCCAACCTCAGGTTGGAAGCCACAATGAAAGACATTGACACTCTCATAGAGCGGACACGCCCTGGGAATAAAAACGAAGTTAACAAGAAGATCAAAAAATAAAAACATACAACAATGAGGATTCGCTGGTGGTCACCCACCCAACTACTAACTCTCCGGCGTGTGGCTTAAGTACGGCTGAGCGGACGGGAAGCCCTGTTTTCCACACCCTATGGTCGTATGTACCATGTTATTGTGGGAAAGAATCATATTGTAAAACAATGTATGATCCTGCTGGAAAGCGGATATAACTGCTTTATCCACATACATATATCTCCAACATATCAAACATTCGTTGTTGTTGTTTTTTTATTGTTTATTTTTATAGAAAGCTCAGTGGTTCTGGCGTCTAAATGTATGACATTTAAGTTTCATTGAATTCCAGGGAATAACATCCATGGATATCTTCCCCTCAAGTCAGCCACAGAAAGAAGATTATCTTAGCGCCTATAACTATCTATTTCTAAGGATAGAGTATCTTCATAATGATATCTAGCCTTCTAAACATAAAGTTCAGCTAGATATTTAAAAGGTTGAATGTAAGCATTATGTCACGAACTACTTTCTCTGCTCGATTAGAAAAGAGAAAGTAATTTAAGTACGTGGAAGACCTACTTGAAGAAAGTAAATTTAATAGCTGGGAAGAGATCTCGAAACTAGAACTATCCTACCAGAGTAGTAAAGAATACCGAATAAGATTTATGCTCAGATCCAAAGACAAACCCACTTAACCTTGGTTGTATCATACGCGCGCACATCTGTTTGAGGCTAGTTCAGATATTACGCAACTAACCAGATAATATCCTGCCCGGAATAATTAAGAACCTCAGACAAAGTGAAGCTCAGCTTTGGCTTTCTCGCCTTGGTTTACTTCCTGTTGTGATGGATGGCGAGGGCATTGTTGGAACCCAGCCGCTTGGAGGACAGGATGCAGTTCACCTGACCTCTACTGAGATTTTGTAAGGACTGTATGGTTTCTCTCGGATAGTACTAGTTACTACATAGCTAAAGATATTTCACATGCGAGGTGTGCACACAAGCGAGCTATGCAGTCTGATACATATAGTAAATGGGATAAATTAAGCTGAATATCTCAACAATACGTGTCTATATGAATTGTTCCTTATGGCCTAATGCATTTCATATAATATCTTGCAATTTTAGAGGGGTTGAGGAAATTTAAGTGACATCTGGAGAACTATATATGATATAGAGGGTTTAGAGTTGTAATTTTGGATACTATAACAATGCACGCTTTCGTTCTATTCGAAATTGATATATACTACTAAAAATACATATTAACGGCTATCGGCAAACAAAAAAAAATAAGACGTGCTCATAAAATCCCAATCTCCCCCGTCATCTCCCCAACAGTAGGTGCAGGCTTTACAACCTCCATTGGCCCGGGCTTCACATTCATGTCCAAGAGATTCCTTCGTAGAATACACAAGTCATCCGACAACCTCCCAAACGCTTCCTGGAGACCTTCCCTCTGAACCTGCGCCCATCTCTCATACCCACGGCCTGAATCTTCAGCCGGGGTCTTGATTTCCGTCGTACCATTTGCAAAGATCATCATCTTCTCAGCCCGACTGAATCGCTCCCACGGCTCTTCCCCTTGCGCAAACCTCAGCCACAGCCTCGCCATCCGCTCTGACTGCTTCTGCTGCGCCGGTGGCAGTGTGTGCCGGAGCGTGCTCCATATGAATACATTCTCGAGACTGTGATGCGCCAGCCCGCCCCATTCGTTGTCGTACGGCGAGGGTTCGTCGAAATGGTACGCAAAGCAGCTTGGGAATGCACGCATCGCATCATAGTTCATCGCAAGGTACATCCCATCGGTGGTGAACTTCTCGATTGCGTAGAAGGTCTCTGTGGGGGAGAGTGAGGGTGTGATGTTGTATATCGATAGTAATTTCCGCGCTGCCTCCAGACCTACCACCGCGGCGCATCTGGATAGAAGCCCCTCGGCTTTCAGGTCCCGATACGCTTTATTCCAGATGATGCATTCGTTCCCAGCGTCGCCGATCATGATATGCTGGCACCATGCCGGGGGCTGAAATGTGCTGAAGCTGTTGTATGAGGGCATGGGGCTTTTGATGAGCACGTGGTCGTCGCAGAGTGCGAGGGTAACGACTGGAATCATAAATACGTCAACCATACTGGCTGTCAGGCGAGCCTCGTCGACCTGCAAGAGCTGCGCGAATCGCTCCTGGGGGGAGAGGTCGGTGGGTATTCCTAGGACCTCCAGGGTCTTCTCGTAGACGTTCTGGTACTGCTCGACTGTCATGATCCCACATAGTGGGAGCAGACCAGACTGTAGAATTGCCCCCGAAAAGAGAGGCTCGCCGCGAAGCAGATGAACATTTGTAGACACTGTAGCAGCCGTTAGCCCGTGATATTTACTTTTAGTATGCGAGTTACGTACCTCCTCCAGCACTCTGGCCAAAAAGCGTCACGCGACTCGGATCTCCCCCGAATGCCCGGATGTGCTTCTGAAGCCACCTCAGTGCTTCTACCTGATCCCACAGACCATAATTCCCCACACCCGCTTCACCGTGGCTTTTGTTATATGCCATAATTTCCTCACTAGCGAGGAATCCTAAAACACCCAGTCGGTAGTTAAGCGTGACGATGATCGTGGGGATCTGCGTATCACGAGATATATCCGCCAAGACTCGCCCATCATACATCCCCGCCGACCCAGCAGCGTAGGCGAACGCCCCGCCGTGCAGGAACACCATGACTGGGAGACCAGGTTCAAGCTCAGGCGACTGTGGTGTGCACGGGACGCTAATGTTGAGGTTCAGGCACTCGTGCTCTGAAGTTGGTGGGTTCTTGACCCATGGCCGATCTGGTACGGGGATGGGATAGAAATCCCGGGGTGGTTGGGGGCAGTAAGGTCCGTTGAATGTCAGTATCCGAGTGCTATTCGTTTCGTGCGACCGGGAGACCTACCCAAACTGTGTTCCGTCCCATCGACATTCTGGCCACGGCGACGGGGCAGGTTGAGGTCTTCTAAACCGCCCTGGGATTGTTGCATAGGGGATCCCCAAATATTGACATGTACTTTTATCGAAACATCGCCCGTGGATTGTGCCCAGTTCTGGAACCTCCAGTGAGACGGACGAACATACTATGGAGTCGACGTTTTGCATGGCGTTGTTTGTCAAAAGAGAGGATCGCTATTGGTAGGTGTTCAGTAGAGAAATAGAAGTCATGGGAATGTTATACATATAATGATAAATATCGAAGGGAGATAAAAGATAAGGTGGCTTCGGGTCTCGCATTTCGGCTTTGACTTCGGGTTTGCGGCCAAAGATAGGCAATCCCGGCTTAGGGTTGCCGAAAAGTCTTAATGTCGTGAACCCATTAAATAATACACAATAAAGAGAAACCACAGGGCCTTGGTCAGTCTCACATCACAAAATATCATCTCAATCGACTAATATGGCTCCAATGCTCAAAGAGACGACCGGCGGAATGGAACTCCCCAATTCGGCATCCAGCCAACCATATTGGTCCAAAAGCCCCTCTCCCTCCCTACTACATCGATCCCTTCATGAGAAACCAATCGTGGCCATCTCAGCATCCGGTCTCGAAATTGCTCTCCAGAACGGCTCTAAGATCATCGACGCCTGCGGTGGCGCCGCCGTGGCGGTAATTGGGCACGGAAACCTAGAGGTCATCGAAGCGTCCCTGACGCAAATGAAAGCCGTCTCCTACGTCCACACGCTGACCTACACAACATCCTCAGCCGAGCAACTCGCCGACCTTCTTGTCGGTCATAAACCAGGCGGCCTCTGCAAGGCATTCTTTGTCGGGAGTGGGAGCGAATCCGTCGATGGCGCTATGAAGCTAGCACGGCAGTATTTCTACGAAAAAGGCGAGCCACAGCGCACGCACTTCATCGCTAGAAAACAGGGGTATCATGGGAACACGTTCGGGAGCATGTCAATCTCCAACAACCTGTCGCGGTTGGCACCATACAGCGACATCTTGCTCCCTAATGTCAGCCACGTAAGTCCGTGCTACGAGTATCAATTTCGTGGGGAGGAGGAGTCCAATACCGAGTACGTTGCCAGACTGGCTGCCGAGCTCGACGCCGAGTTTCACCGCGTCGGTCCCGGAAACGTCGTCGCGTTCGTGGCGGAGACTGTTGGCGGTGCCACGAGTGGTTGCATCACGGCCTTGCCGGGGTATCATGCAGCGATGAAAGCGGTATGTCGGAGACACGGGGCTATGTTTATGCTAGATGAGGTCATGTGTGGTATGGGACGGACGGGCTCCACGTTTGCGTGGGAGCAGGAAAGAGACGAAGAGGGGCAGCCGGTTGTTCCGGATATCATGACGCTCGGAAAGGGGCTTGGGGGTGGTTATGCGCCTATTGCAGCTATCCTCGTGCATGAGAATGTGATTGATGTCCTAGATCGCGGAACTGGCTGCTTCAATCATGGACATACATACCAGGCACACCCTGTCAGCTGTGCTGCGGCTCTCGCCGTTCAAAAGATTGTCCGCCGGGACAGGCTGGTAGAGAACTGCGCGCGTATGGGCCACCTTCTCGAAGCAAAGCTGAGAACCCATCTTGGAAAAGAGGCGTATGTGGGTGATATTCGCGGCCGTGGTCTCTTTTACGCAGTGGAGTTTGTGAAGGATCGCCAGACCAGAGAGCCACTGGATCCTAGCCTAAAATTTGGCCCGGCTGTGCAGAAGCAAGCATTCGATATGGGAGTGGCTGTGTATCCGGGAGCTGGTACTATTGATGGATTCAAAGGGGATCATGTTCTCATTGCACCACCCTTTACTGTGAATGAGGGTGACCTCGAGCAGATTGTGACAATTTTAGCAAGTGCATATCGAATGATGGTTAAGAAGTTGGTCAAACTACATTGATGTACATTGATTTATCTGTATATAATGAAATTGAACATGAGCATGTGAAATCTTGCTACCACATTACCTTTTTAAACAGTGTATCACTCTCCACTTGCTCATTCCAGTTATGGCTTCAAATAGACTATGTTAATTCTCCCCATGAGAAACTCCCAGAAAAAGCCAATCTGTGCTGCAACCTTAATCTTGGACATATATTCAAAAAGATGGCCCTTTACTAATAAGGCTTTGGTAGGTAGATTTATAACTGAGTGATGAAAACATTGGAAGCAAGTCGGAACGCAAAGAGATAGATTTTTATCGAAATTTACTGGATAGCTTCCAAATCGAAGACACGAATAACCAAGGGATATTCCAAATTGTCGCCTAGTCAAACGTCTTCATTGCTTAGTTGTAATAGTCACAACGGTTCACATAACCTGCACAACCAGCTCTACCAACTATATCGAAATTTAACCCAATCCTCCTTATCAGTGCGGTCGAAGAATTCCTCGTTTTCGACGGTGACCACTTGCTGCCCCTCGGAGAGCTTTGCGCTTTCGCGGTCACGGCGACGATTTTCGAAATTATAATAAAAGCTAAAAGAGCTTCAGTATTTCAACAATTCAAAATCCAGCACAGAGTTAAAACTTACCACATAAGTATGCAGAGAAATAGCACCAAAGAGATCGAGACAAGCATTCCCCTCAGTCCCGTCCCATATCGAGGCGCTTCTGTTGAGATAAATAGCTGCGGGTTCACAATGTTAGCTACACAGAATGCCACAAACACCATGGAAGTGGTCATGAGCTTTTTGGAAAATCCAGCCACGTTGCTACTAATCAGGCTGAGTAGGATAGCATAGCCAGCTGGGACACAAAGAACAAGCCATACGCCAACGATACGAGCCCATGTTGAGGATTGGGGGAGGACGTCGAGCAAGACGATGCCGACCAGGGTGGGCGCAGAGACCAGGAACATGATCACAGTTCGTCCGTTCTTCATGCGGCTTGACAACAGCCCTGCAACCAGCATAGCTATGATCTCTACACCCCCTACGGGTAGAGTGAGCAGCGTCGTGGTAAGGCCGCTGAAACCCATGTCCTGGATGATGAGCGGCAGGAAAGACCCCGCGATATTAGTGATATTGCTAATCCCAGCCCAGGCGGCAATCATCCAGCATTGCGGGTCTGTCAAGGCCTCCATGGCTTGTTTCCATTTGAATATGGACGACCTCATCCCAGTTCGGTTCGAGCGAAGGCGTTCGACCGCGATCAACCGTTCCCGAGGAGTCAGGAATCTGGCCGTCATCGGATCAGAGGGGAGAAAAAAGAAGATGACAATGGACCAGAGGACGGTGAATCCACCACAGATCAAGAAGACAAGCTGCCATTCTGCCACCCCAGAGTCTGTCTGACCTACACCGTAGGCCAATAGTGCTCCGATGATGGCTGCCAGACCGACGAACCCGTACCAAGTGCTATTTCTGTTAGTCACTGCATACATAAAGTAAGACAAGGAGGCTTACGTGACGCGGGAACCTTGCTCCCCGTTCTTATAAAAGATCGACATCATTGTCACCCAGCATGGGCCGATGGCACTCTCAAAGACCCCCATGAAAAAGCGAAGAACGGCCAAACCAGCAAAGTTCTTCGCACAGGCACATAACAGTACCATTATCCCCCATAGGAAGACGTTGAAGCTTGCATACTTTCCAATAGGGAACTTGGTGAGAAGATAGGACGATGGGGCCTTGAAAGTCAGCTTCACTTCAGCCCGCGAGTTACATAAATCACATACCTGTGCTACTAGGTATCCAAAGTAGAACATTGAGGTGGCCCAGGAATACTCCTGGCCCACCAGACCTAGATCCTTGCGCATCCCATACACCGCGGCATATGAAGTGGTCACCTTGTCGAGGTACTGCAGACCAAAGGTCAGGCAGAGCTAATCCAGTAAGTCCTTCATTGCTATTTTTGTAGGCAGCAGGTTAGAAACTCACAATTGGTAGAAGGTGCAAGTCAATCTTTCGTCGCACGGCTTTTTCTTCTTCCTCTGTATATTCGATCTTCTCGGCTTGTGCCAGGAACTGAAGTCCGACATCGGCATTCTTGTCGATATTTTTCATGTCTGATGCTTCCACATCTACAACCCCCAAATTGAAACTGGGTCTTTTTTTATTAAAGTCAACCATTGCTAATGACAATTAATATGGTCAAATAAGAGAATCCATTCCGACGCGTCCGATGATGGTTGAACTATATACCTCGGGTTGACTGTTATCTAGAGTTTACGCCGAAGATAGGCAAGAACGATTTCGGGTTTCGGGTTGTGGCTTCTATCTCTTTTCCCGAGATTCGAGACTCTTTATCTCCACACAGCATCACCAGCTCACCATGAGAACTACGCTTGCTTGTGAATGGTGTCGGTAAGTACAACTTAATTCATATCATATACTCCTACTCGCTGACCACGCGCTATTAGCAAATCCAAACTCAAGTGCCACCACAACGGCTCTCCTCCGTGCAAGGCGTGTGCCTCCCACGCCGGGCGAGAATGTGTCTTGACTACTCCCCAGGTCGTGCGCCGACAACCGAAACCTCGTATTGCTTCACGATATCCTTACTTAGAAAACCCTGGGCCTGCTGAGCGGGCACCGGATAACAATGCCGATGTTGAGCCCCCAGAGCTAACACCGAGACCCCTTGAGTCAACCAATCCGGTTACAACAGTCGATCGCGAAATCGTTCGACGCGCCTGTCAGATCTTCACCCAACAGTTCCCCGAATTTGGGTTCCTCCACAAACCTACCGTCCTAGACCACATCCAAACCAATACTATATCGTCTCTGAAGCTATGCGCCGTGGTGGCATTGTGCGCTCGATATCTGCCCGAGGTGACCAGCCGCTACGGAAGTGCCCTTGCGGCATCGGAACATTTCGCAGAATACGTTCGGAAGAACATCATGGAGCGCGTGACCTCGCATGCTGACATCGACGTAATCCAGACCCTGGTACTATTGGGTCTACATGACTGGGGCTGTTGCAACGGTTTCAGAGCCTGGATGTATATAGGTACGACACCCCATTCTCGCTGTCAATAGTGAATAAGTGTTAACGATTATTAGGCATAGCGATTAGGATGGCACAAATGCTACAAGCGCACTTAGGAGACGATGGGAAGTCGGAAAAGAGTCAGATCAGTGTTGTATTGCGAGAGAGCATCCATCGGACGATCTGGGCCTGCTTTGTGATCGACTGTATGCTAGGATGCGGAAAGCATAGACCGCGAAGCTTCGAAGCGGAAAAGATCGAAATACCATTGCCGATGAATGAGGAAGACTACATTTTCGGTACCGATGCGTCGGCCGATCCTATGTACCTGACAAGTCACGCTGAGGCACCCCTGCCCACACAAAAGCTGGGAGTAGAATACTGCTTGTCGCTGACCATCCAGGGATTTGATATTTGGTCGACACTGTCCCGGTGGATCTGCTCCGGGGGAAGAAGAAGCAATCTCCCGACCTCGTCGTATCCTCCATGGCACAAGACGTCTTTCTGGCATCAGACGATGACCGCGCTGGAAAGCTGGAGAGCCACGCTCTGCCCTCGCTTACTATACTCTTCCAGCGGACTCAATCTACAAGCCCAGATCTCCCGGACGCAGGGCGAAAGCTTCGCCATCATCAATCTCCTATACTACACCATGGTCATCTACCTCAACCGAGAGTATATACCCTTTCTCCCTCACCGGGTAAGCGGCCCCTGCGGGCCAATCGATTCACCTTTACTCAAGGAACATGCGCCGCCCGGATGGTGGGACCGAGGCTCCAGGGAGCTTTTCGGCTCCGCGTCATCTATCATTCATATCATGCGGGGGCTTCAGAAAAATGGCATACAGCTGCAGACCCCATTCACGAGCTTTTGTGTCTTCACCGCTGCGGCCACATTGTCATACGCAAGTGCGTGGCCCCACATGGCGCCGGGAACTGAAAACGCGCGCGAGATGTATATCTGGGGTTTGGAATGGCTGCAACAATCATGCAAGCTGTGGAAGATCGCAGTCGGGTGGTGTGACACGCTGCAGAATGTGGATACGCTCTATACATGTCTTAAAAGGGATAGCCTACGATTTCATCACGTCGGGCGGGAACCGTTCATGGACTTGGAAGATAGTATCCAGAGGTTCGCAGAGACCAAGGCAGGGCCTTTACCCGCGGCCAAAATCCTTCTGGCTCTATCGGGGACCCCACAGCTTGAGATTAGGGAACCGGGGCGGGATGTCTCTTCAAGATCAAGGCAGACAGACACACACGACCGAGGGGACCAAGATGGGACTGTAGATAGCCAAGGCTCCGTGGGTCTTGCACAGCAAAGTCCGTTGGAATATACGAGTAGGGACTTTTTTGCGAGTCAGGATCTGATTGCGAGTATGATGGGTGAAGGGATTGGACTCGACTGGTTTCACGAGCTATCTTGGTAGTATATTTAGATGTGGAATGATATTTCGTCGACCTTATTGCCGACCCTGATAAACCCATTCTGTGAGACCTGGACGAGATATAAACCCGGCCCAATCACAATCAACTTGAGTCTAGAGTCCTTCGGGTTTCGGGACTGGACTGATAGCATTCCGGCGCAGTGTTTCCGAGGCATACCCGAGAGCCGTCTACCAAACTAAGTCTCTGATGATAAATGATCACAAAGACGATCTGCCTGCTATCGAAGCAAAATATATTTCCCGAAAGCCAAACAACTCCATGATCATACAAGAAAATGCAAATCTTTGATCCACTGACCCCAGCCGAGGCTATCCACAGAATCATCGCCCTCCAGCAGGATGGATCCTGCAAGTCAATATGGTATTGCATTGCGGTACGTGAATCTCTTATTGTATTCCAATTAAGTATCAACTCACTAACTCAACTGATCGCCATATATTCAGGCCTCTGCGTACGCATCCGCCAACGCCGGCCCCCAAGTGACCGAAGTTTACAAAGTTGCGATAGCGAATACTACATCCGCCGCAGAGCGGCGCCACATTCTACAGCGCATCCTGGAGACTCTCATCAAAGGGACCATGCTGTACGGCGTTCCCCGACTTCTCAACTCCTTCTACCCGCTTGTCAGTTACGTCGAGAAGGAAGGTCTTCTGGAAGGTACCTCTCCGGAGCCAGTCCTCGATGTGCGCAAGAACATGGCAAACCCATTCGATTTGCAAGAGCGGGGTCTGAAATATTTCCAGAATATCTACCGCGATGACATGGATAAAATATTTGCCCCGATGCACAAGTTCGCCCCGGATATTAGTGGGTCTTCTTTTATTTTTTTTCCACTTTTTGCCTGGTTTATCTATACATAGGGACCATAGCTAACGATGGGACCAAGAACAGCTATCAGTTCTCCTTGAATATGGCCCGTACCTCTCGGAGACCTCCATACTGAGCCCCATCGAAACTTCCCAGATCACAATTGCAGCCCTTGTTGCATTGGATGTGCCGATGCAGGTCAAATGGCATATGAGAGGGCTGATTCGGAACCAGGGCACTGCAGATATGGTGGAATATGCTCTCCATATAGCTGAGATCGTCCGCGTTGCGGAAGGCGTTCAGTTGAAAAATGGTCTGCCGGATCTCCGTGCAATCCAAGAAGAGACACTTTTCTGAGCATGAATGAGGTCCTGTCGACTTAACGCATACCTGGGCCTGTTGGGACGTTTCAACTCAAATAACACAGCAGATAGGTAAACTCTATTTAACCTGACCCCTCGCTATGTGATATGGAGGATATAACTATTGCTAACCTCTTTCATAGTATGTCTAAACTGAAATGAGACCAACAGTTCGTTTGCCTTGCCATCTATGCCTTGTCTTGGAATGCTTATTTCCAAAACCCGGGTATCTCAATCGCCAGGTGAAACTTGATTACACGCGTGGTCAGGCACGGTGGGTCGAAGGACCTATTGTGCCTGGATTCACCCGGTGCTATGCATGGTTATATAGCTTGTCTAGGTAACAAATAAAAATATCAAGATACTTGGGGGGAGGTTAAGATACTACGAAAAACGATAATCTTAATATTTTAGTATTCAATATATATCTAGGATCTAGAGGGAGTACTATTACTTTCTAAGTGAACTTCTATAATTTATAAATTATCTAAATAACGCGCTTTCTCGCGTTTTTAAACGTGATATAGAGAGATAACTAGTAATTAATTCTAAATCATACTATTAGAATAGTACATATAGAATAAGGCTTAGAAATGGGTAAAAAACGAAGGGTAATTTTAAAAACCCTAAAAGGGGGTTTAACTTCTAAATTCTCGGCAGATTTATACTGTTTGGGGCCTATTTGGGGGCCTATTAACCCGCAGTAGGCTTCCTACCATAGGCCCATTGCCAATCGGTAGGCTCGAGGCTGGGCCCAAAACCTAACCCACTTGCGGGTTGGGTCCGGGTTGGGCTTTGGGCTTTGCGGGCTCTGCGGAAGTCTAACCTACAATATGGCAGAATCCCATACAATAGTATCCCCACATCTGTGAATGGGGGACTTTTACATCTCCTAACCATTGTGTATACTCTGTTGGTTCCAATGTTGATTTCGCACACCAGAAAATCAGTTCGCTATACATAGATGAAGTGGATACAGTTCTACCTCGAGAATAGGGAGCGCCCCTAAAAGAGCGCCCCAGGCAATGAATACCCGAGAATTTTACGGGAGAACCCATCGCCACTGAATGTTCAGCTCTCCGCCAACCATAGATACCCAAGGTTCACTCTCGCCGTAGTCACAGTTTCCATGTCACTTGACTGTATGTGGTGGGCCAAACGCCCGATTTTCCAGGGGCAATAATGCCATTAGGATCGATTGCGTTTTTGATCACCTCGTTAAATTTCAAGAAACTGCTGTTGTTCCAGTTGTATGCTCCCATAATTTGGTCCATGACATCCAGATGCGATCGATACTCGCCCCATCCGTTGGCTGCACAGTCATCAATAAGCGTCCTGACGAGCCACTGAACTTTTTTCTTTTGCTCCAGGTCCTTTTTGTTGAACACAATGCACACAATATGGTCTAGAAAGCAGCCCGAAGATTAGTTATGCTGAGCAAGCACTACCGGGAAGGCTTGCCGAAGAGTTCTAGGGCTAACTTACGCATCTCTCTCATGCCGACCGTAAATGTCCCGATGAAGTCTAGGCCAGCCTCTTGGCATCTTTTCTTGGTGATCCCGCATTGCAACATTGCATCTTCCCCGGCTACCTTTGCAATAGGAGAGAAGAACAGATGGGCGCCATTGGGGATCCAGTCAATCCATTTGAGCTCGTCGTAGGTTGGAATACCTTGCATGGTTTTGTGACGGATACGAAGAATCGAGTTCTCGGGTGTGTCTTCCGGAAAGTAAAACTTGACACCAGGGATGACCGAGAAGGCCTCTTTGACTGTTTCCCAAAGAGCCGTGCGAATCCGCTCAGGTCCCTACCAGGTGTTAGCCGGGAGAGTCTGAACGACACCGACAAAGATAACTCACATAAAGAGCTCCATAAAAGTTCCATCGGCCTAGGTTGAGCTGCTTTGCTATTCTGTCCAGGTCCTCGTCAGAAAGAGGCTCGGTCTTTGGTGAATAGGATAATTTATTTCCAAGAACTGCTGCATCCAATAGAATGTGGCGAATGGTGGGCACATTCTGAAGTGCCATATTCAAACGAAGGGGCCGAATGATGTCGACCGCCAGAATTTGCGGTTTACTATTTTATCGCACGAAAGGAAACCAAATTTGAATACAAAGGCTGATACCCTATGACAAGCGCACGGTAGGCATCTCAACTAATTTTTACGTTTATCTGATGTCCCATAATACCCTAGATCTCTACAAAACAAACTAGTCAGTAAGCATCTTAAGATCAAATAAAAATTTTCATTCTGCAATTGATGCGCGTTCAGCCCTATATGGAACTCATAAAATCTCCTCACCCAACCTTGGCACCCAGCCGCACCACAAGTTTCCCGTCCAGTTCATTCACGCGCCCAGCATAGCTCTCTAGTTCGTGAAGGCCAATTCCTGTAACTCTTGGTTTTACCAAGCCTTTGCGAACAAATTCTGCGGCCTCTGTAATATCCACACGATCGCCCGTGATGCTCCCAACGATCCGAATTCCATAGTCGATCAAAGGGAGAGGATGAAGCGATATCTTTGAGGTAGGCGGTGGGATGCCTACTGCGACTAGGGTTCCGTGGTAGTCTAGACAATCCAAGGCCTTTTCATAGGCTGCTGTAGCTCCAGCGCACACGATGATCGCAGAACAAAGCTTGCCCTCCGTTTTCAGAAGCACGGCGCTCCTCAGGTTGTCCTCCTTCTCAAAGTCCAATGGACATCTGCTCCTGCGTCCATGCAAAGAAGTCTTCGCCGCTCTCCTCCATCGATTGCGATAGGTCGATAGCCCATCTGCTTTGCATAATAACGCCAACGATCCCACTGCACCTGCAGCGCCAGAAATACCAAACCCACGAACCTATTGGGAGGTTCGCCACCTTAAGTGCTTTATAAGCCGTAGCACCGGCACACATTATTGGTGCTAGCATCTCGCTAGGGACTCCATCGGGTAGAGGCGTGATATATCTCTCTGGAACGACAGTATACCTGGCCATGGTACCCGGAACATCACGCCCACTGAAAACCTGCTCTAGACATCGTGTCTCGTCTTTAATATCGCCATCACACACGCGACAAGTTCCGCATGCATCGCGAATCCAGCCAATACCGACCAGACGGCCGACTGTAGCTGCCTCACTTGTGTACCAAGATCCCACGGCGGAAATCCGACCCACGCCTTCATAGCCTAGAATAGATTAGCATGGGCCAAGATAGCCGTGGGCAAGTGACAGATCAGTTCCGCAAAAACCAGTGACTTGTAATTCAACGAGAACTTCATGGGGCTGGATGATTGGGATCGCGAGTTTCTGTGTCTCGAAGTAGAACTTGAGACCTTGCTGAGAATCATTCTGTCAGAGATAATATCCACTAGCCCTGATTGAAATGAAGTGTCTTGCATTTTGAAGGACTGCAGCTACCTGATACGATGGTACTCTTTGTTTTGAACCGGAGCTCATTGTAGGAAGTTTGGGAGGAGTAATGGTAACGATGATTATTTCATAATTAGAATGTTCGACATGCAAGAACGGCAAAGTCAGACTTGATCTGAGAGTAAATCCTAACTCGGCGTATATTTCATATATTTACACAGAACATAGATGGGATTCGTAACCTTCCATATCTATCACACCCCCTTCCCTACCGGCAATTCTCCACACCTTCGGCATATATTTCCCTCTGTGTCCCTCGGCATAATCTCAACGTCAACTCCTCCACTAATTATAGGTCCTACCTTTGTGTATATCCGAAGTCTCCAATTCGGCCCGCTCTCACCTAATATCCGGGTGGGGAATGATGTAGAAACCCCGTCACGGATGTGGGAGAAACCCGCTGATCCGCTCTTCACCTACGATTTAATATTTAATTCAGCAGTCAGCTCTACGAGGTCTTCATTTTAAGTATTCATCTTTTTGAGATTTCAAGATGTTCTACAATATTATCAACTCGGAGCGCCGGTCCGGAGACACTGCAACAGTCACGAACCCCAGGACCAACGAAGCCCTCTGGGAGGTGGCAGTCGCACATGAGACGGACCTTAACGACGCAGTCAAAGCTGCAAGGGCATCATTTACCTCTTGGAAGCTCTTGTCTATCGAGGAAAGACAGAAGTACCTACTCAAGCTAGCCGATGAACTAGAACAGCGAAGAGATCAAATACATGCGCCTCTGGCAGCAGAGACCGGGAAATCCGTAACAAAATCCTTCCGCATTTTGATTATTGGAAATATTGCTAAGAAACTCCTTAGAACATCCTCGCAAATATCGAGATTGATGACACTTTGGCGTTTCTCCGATTCAACGGTATTGCATATCCACATTCGGAAATATTGTCTTAGCTGGAAAAGCTGACTAGTCTAGCACCTCAATCATTGCCCGATAAAGTGGATTACGAAGACGGTAAACTCAAGATCGTGTCTACCCATCATCCTATAGGAGTGGTGGGTGCGATTTGCCCTTGGAATTTTCCGCTCGTGCTAGCCGTCGGCAAGATTGCTGCAGCGCTCGTCATGGGAAATTCCATTATTGTTAAACCGTCGCCATTCACTCCATGTTCCACTTTGAAATTCGTTGAGCTTGCGACATCCGTACTTCCCCGGGGTGTACTCCAGGCGCTCAATGGAGACAACGATATGGGAAGACTTATTTCCATTCATCCAAGGATTGACAAGATTAGTTTCACTGGATCCATTGCGACTGGAAAGAAGGTAGCGGAAAGCGCGGCCCAGACTCTGAAACGAGTGACACTCGAGCTCGGTGGAAACGACGCAAGTGTCATCTGCCCCGACGTTGATGTCAAAACTGTTGCTGCAAAGGTTGCTGGTGGGGTCTTTTTCCATTCGGGTCAGATGTGCGTTGCTACGAAAAGGGTCTACGTGCATGAGACTATTTTTCAAGAATTCCGGGACTCTTTTGTGGAAGCAGTCAAAAACATCAAAATCGACCTTTCTGGTGACCAGTCCCCTCTGTTCAGTCCTGTCCAGAATGAGCAACAGTACAAAATTGTCAAAGATATCATCGCCGATTGCAAGGAAAACAACTACACTTTACTTTGTGGGGGAAATACCGACGACAAGCATCTAGGGCTCTTCATCGCACCAGTTGTTGTGGGCCAGCCACCACATGATTCTCGCATTGTTCAAATGGAGCAGTTTGGTCCTATCATTCCGCTTATGAAGTGGTCTACTGAGGATGAAGTGATCTCAAGGGTCAATGGGACAGATACTGGCTTAGGGGCCTGCGTGTGGGCAAAGGATGTTGACAATGCGGAACGCATTGCACGGAAACTCGAAGTTGGATCGGTATGGATCAATAGCGCTGAAATCCCCAACGCGCGCGGCTACTGTTGTGGCTGGAAGCAGAGTGGGATAGGAGGCGAGTGGGGAAACCAGGGCCTGATGTCGTATTCTCACACACAGATAATTCAGCTGTGCAAGTAGACTATCCACAGCTCTCATAACAGAGATGACATACTTCAATTGTGTAAAAGAACCTGCTTCAACATAAACACAAGTTTATTGACAATCGACAAAGCTTAATTTTCTCTATTGGGGGGCTTTTCTCCAACTTTTTCTTCTCACTTTATTATCCTAAGGCTATCTCAAACCGGTATTTGAGCCACAACGCTTTCCAATATAAATATCGAGATCCTAGGCTATTAGAGAGATAGTGAGATTATATAAAATATATTCCACAGCAGGGAATCAAGTTGTCGTGGATATTACTTTAGATGTGTAATCTCTCCGAATTATGATAAATAAATTCTGCCAATTCTTCAATAATCTCCTCTGATAGCTCAGCTGGAAGAGCGCAAGACTGTAATTGCCCTGTTCTGCAAGGAACTTGTTATCTTGAGGTCCCTGGTTCGATCCCGGGTCAGAGGATTTTTTGCCATTTCTTACCTCTGTCTTTTTGATTCCTTTTTCCCTCTTTTATCTTGACCGCTTGCAATATATTCTTTTTCTCCAAAAGATTCAATTTGTTAATATTGTTAGAATTCGATGGCTGTGGTAGAAAACCACACAGCTGAAATGAATTTGAATGTCGCCGACTGGAGTCCAGGCAACCCAAATCAGATTTAGTAGTTCTCCACTGGAGTATCCATTTTGGTGATGGGTAATAATATGACTCAACTCCAACTCTCCACAGTACTGGCACTGACCCCTAGATTTCCACTGTGGACTTGGTGTATGATCTGTCACATAGTCTATTATTAGTTCTTCTGGGAAATCATTGATTCTCGACACGTCCGAAGCATTAAGTATTTGCTTATCTGTGGTCACACCAGGAAGAGAAAACAGGTCGATAGGTAAATAGTACGGAGTAGTTGAAGGAAGTCTCCGTAAAGATCCCCTTAATGCCACCAGTACATCTAAACATTGACTTCGGGGTGTTCCCATGGACTATTTTCTTCCAATATTTTGCGAAGATTACCAAAGGAAGAGCTAGTCTTATTCCACTGTACAGGAAAACTTGGGGGGGGGGATATAAGGACACTTTGCCAAAGTGGCGCGACCAACAAATTCGTCACATACACATGGACAGCGTTAACCGCTAGAATGAGAGGCTGAATTGAGAGACGTATATCGTGTAATTATATTAACTGATGCTGATTTTAACCATTGAACAAAGAAGTGGAAAAAGGAAAGACGGACTAATATGTCCAACGCGAGAGGAACCATAAATCTCAACACTGGGCGGTCCCAACTCTCGCCACCGGCAACTGCCTTTATCATGTAAATTTGGAATGACTTAGATCTGCATAGCAACGGCACCAATAGCTCCAAACACCACGGCAACACCAGACCAAGTAGCCCGGCCGGCGGCGTTGAATGGAATGATGCTAGGGCTAGCACTGGGCTTGCCCGCGCTACCACCACTACCACTGCTGCCCCCGGAGACAGGGGAAGTGTGAGCCACAAGGCCGGTAGAGGTCTTGGATGCGTGGCAGGCAGCATCGCATACAGTAGCGACATTAGTGAAGGTAGGAGTGACACGGGTGAAAGTGCCGGTGTAAGTTGGGCGTCCAACAGTGATGGAAGGGACATAGGTGTATGTGGGAACCGAGGGAGAACCAGCACTATAAGATGGGGCAGAGCCAGGTCCCTTAGGGCCAGTCCAGATCGAGGTGGTAGAAGCCTCGGCAGCAGAGATGGAAGACTCGCCTGGCACAACACCAGGGATGGACGTCTCGCCTGGAACAACACCGGGGACGGTAGCCTCGCCGGGGATAATGACAGAGGTAGCAGACTCGCCAGGCACGACACCGGAGATAGAAGTCTCGCCGGGCACGACACCGGGGATGATAGCGGTAGCGGTGGTCTTGCCAGGTACTGCGGGAGTTGTGGCCTCACCTGGCACGACACCGGGGACGGTGGTCTCGCCAGGGACAACGGGAGTAGTAGACTTTCCTGGCACAACACCTGGGACGGTGGTTTCGCCTGGAACAACGGGAGTTGTGGCCTCACCTGGCACGACACCGGGGACGGTGGTCTCGCCTGGAACAGCGGGAGTGGTGGCCTTACCTGGCACGACACCAGGGACGGTGGTCTCGCCCGGGACAACAGGAGTAGTAGACTTTCCTGGCACAACACCGGGGACAGTGGTCTCACCGGGGATAACAGGCACGGTAGTTTCGCCAGGGACAACAGGAGTAGTAGACTTTCCTGGCACAACACCGGGGACGGTGGTCTCGCCTGGAACAGCGGGAGTGGTGGCCTTACCTGGCACGACACCAGGGACGGTGGTCTCGCCCGGGACAACAGGAGTAGTAGACTTTCCTGGCACAACACCGGGGACAGTGGTCTCACCGGGGATAACAGGCACGGTAGTTTCGCCAGGGACAACAGGAGTAGTAGACTTTCCTGGCACAACACCGGGGACGGTGGTCTCGCCTGGAACAGCGGGAGTGGTGGCCTTACCTGGCACGACACCGGGGACGGTGGTCTCGCCCGGGACAACAGTAGTAGTAGACTTTCCTGGCACAACACCGGGGACGGTAGTCTCGCCGGGCACGACAGGAACGGTGGTCTCACCGGGGGTAACGGGAACGGTGGTCTCGCCAGGGACAGCGGGAGTAGTAGACTTTCCTGGCACAACTCCTGGGACGGTGGTCTCGCCTGGAACTCCGGGGACGGTGGTCTCGCCAGGGACAACGGGAGTTGTGGGCTTGCCGGGAATGACAGGCACAGTGGTCTC